TCCAGGGCTGGGCAACATGGAACACCCCTCAAGAAAGCGTGTGTAGTTGGAACATACATGCATACATCCATCCATGCGGCTTTGCATTGGTTTAGAGGTGTGTGGTTGTGTCGGTGGTATCTTGTCACGGCCTCATTCTGTTCCTGAATGCCTCTCACATCCACTGGGATGGTGGCAGGCTGGCTTTTGTCGACGGTCCTCGTGCCACTAAGCGTGTATGACGCCTTTTAGTACTTGGTAATAGAGTTTCTCGTGGGCAAACGAATTCCAACCCGCTAAGTCTTTACTGTGGCATATTTCAGTGTCGGGATGGTGTTGTACGTGTTGCTGCTCAAGACCGATGAAATGCCCAAGAATATTGCAGCAAAGGTAAGGCGCTAACTCAAATGAAGCAGGAGGAGGCCCGTGTGAGGTGAGGCTGAGTAACTGATATGTATAGAGCAGGAGGAGGCTCATGCTAGGATGGGCTCTCATGTACGTCGATATGATTATTAGTCGCGATCCCGGCGTTGTGAAAAAATATGAAGCAAATCTTGGGCGGGGGAAATTCGTTGTTTAAAGAACAAAGAATACTAGGCCCGGTCGATCTTAAATTAAGATCTCCACTAGGCGCATCTGACGGTCGATGAGATTTGTTATCTTGCCGACGTGGCGCGCTTGTTGAACATGCACATTCCGAACATGGCGCCTGCCATGCCATTTTTAATGATTTGACATTTCTTGATCCTTGCGTCTGCTATGCAATGGAAAAGCGAATCGTCGGACGATCACGACGTGGCGCGCCCAGATTACACATAATTATACCGAGTGTATCTACTGTAGCATTTCAATTGGACGATCGACTGTGCGACACGATCTGGAATGCAAGCAAGATGCGTTTTTTGTTCGAGCATGCCATGGCGTCGCGGTTGCGTCGCGGTACATACACGCGACTGTTGTGGCACTGTCATCGTTAGCGTCTGGCGATCGTGAGATGGAACATTCGACTGCATCGCCCGTTGGGATTCGAGCTTTGCTGCTGCTGCTGCTGCTGATTGACTAAGGTATGTAAGGTATGTAAGGTAATTCACTTCATGCCAAGACTATAAAGGTCAGAGGTACCTGCACTCTCTATTGAGGCGTGTGACGAGTGTGAGCCTCCTCTTGACTTTTCTTGGTGAGGCTTGTCCACAATTGTCAGTCAAATTTGCAAAGACATTACTTCATTTGGATTTTTAGGTTTATTACAATAAAATGTAGAGCATAATTCCACGTCAAACCACGTCAATTCCACATCACACACCTTATTACACGTCATCGCGCTTGGCAATCATGCTCCCCCTCTGCTTGGGAGTTTTCATTCTTCGCGGTACCAGGGTTGAAAACTCTGAAAACTCTGAAAACTCTCGAATCGCGGTGCCTCACCATTTGTTTGGAAGTTTTCATTCTCCGCACCCAGGTTGAAAACTCTCAAAATTCTGAAAACTCTCAAATCGCGTCATGTCATGTCATGTCATGTCATGTCATGTCATGTCATGTCATGTCATGTCATGTCATGTCATGTCATGTCATGTCATGTCATGTCATGTCATGTTTGGGAGTTTTCATTCTCCGCACCCAGGTTGAAAGCTCTGAAAGCTCTGAAAACTTTCAAATCGCGTCATGTCATGTCATGGCATGTCATGTTTGGGAGTTTTCATTCTCCTCACCCAGGTTGAAAACTCTGAAAACTCTCAAATGGCGTCATGTCAATGTCATGTCATGTTTGGGAGTTTTCATTCTCCGTGACACCAGGGTTGAAAACTCTCAAAACTCTGAAAACTCTCAAATCGCGTCATGTCATGTCATGTTTGGGAGTTTTCATTCTCCTACAGGTTGAAAGCTCTGAAAACTCTCAAATCGCACATGTCATGTCAATGTCATGTTTGGGAGTTTTCATTCTCACCAGGTTGAAAGCTCTGAACACTCTCAAATCGCGCCATGTCATGTCAATGTCATGTTTGGGAGTTTTCATTCTCCGCACCAAGGTTGAAAACTCTGAAAACTCTCAAATCGCGGTGCCTCCCCCTTTGCTTGGGTTGAAAAAAGTTGAAAATATTGAAAATGTTATATGTTAAGTATGAGACCCCCTCAGATTATATATTCTTTTGTGGACATAACTGGCGATAAGAGGCTGCTGATATATGTTGTCAATTCTCCTGTCGCGTCTACGTCTGTTGCTTCCGTCATCCGTGTTCAATTGTGACACTGCAATATTTTACTTTAGGTCTGATTTGTTAAATATGCAGTTTTAACTTAAGGCAGAAGGCTTTCTCTCCCGAAGTGTGTGCCCTTGTCCAGCGAAATAAAGATCTCTAAGATTGTATACTAATCTGAGTAATCTTTTGCTTCAAAATATTATCACATATTCCTACTTAGTATGTGGGTACCCGTTTTGCAAAGATTGACAACTCATAGCGCAACTATTGCAGGTTTCAAATTCCTTAAATTCCACCCACTTCCGCCAAATGAACGCGTCAGCCCACGGCGAGATGTGTGGTTGACCGTTCAGTCTGTGCCATTTTTTTAGGGAAGACAAGTTGTAGGGAAAGTTGTTTTCGGTATACGTTAGTATACCGAAAACAATAGCCGCTGGACAGTGACTTACGGGCCACGGTCCGACCCGTAGCGGTACTGTGCGGGCAAGTCATGTTTTCTGTTTTCAATCTGTTTTCGGCCGCACATGTGACGAGGTCAGATACATCATCATATTCGGAAATCAAAAGTGACAGTTGCAACAGTATATAAATTCTGGTGTCGACCGATGACGCGAACTTTGCATCGCGGACGCTGCAACTGCTTTATATATGCAGTTGAGATTTGAGAGTTTTCAGAGTTTTCAACCTTGGTGCGGAGAATGAAAACTCCCAAACATGACATGACATGATATGATATGGCATGATATGACATGACATGACGCGATTTGAGAGTTTTCAGAGTTTTCAATCTTGGTGCGGAGAATGAAAACTCCCAAACATGACATGACATGACATGACATGACATGACATGACATGACATGACATGACATGACATGACGCGATTTGAGAGTTTTCAGAGTTTTCAACCTTGGTGCGGAGAATGCAAACTCCCAAACATGACATGATATGACATGTCATGACATGAAATGACACAGCACGTGAGATTCGCGGGGTCGAGAGTCGAGCGTGTCGAGTTTCGGGCTTTGCGGGGAAAATGAAATGTTTTGGGTGCTTGACCACCGACGTGTCGTTCAATGGGGGATGACATGGAATTGTTTGTAAACAAGTAGCATATTTTATTTTATTTTAATGATTTCTTGAATTGTCCAAGTTCTTAAGGTTCTCAAAACTGACAATTGTGAACGTTTATGTTCTTGGTATTTTTCATGCGTTTAATGGTTTCTTAAGAAGTGTGTTTCCGTGTTGCATTTTCTTGCATGACATTATTATACTCACGCCAATAAAGATGTCATACCTATTCGTGCAGCTCATCATATGTGGGAGTATGTCATGAACGCAAATGAGAATGATACCAGATATTTCTCTCTGCATGACACGTAAAGAATATAATCATTTCAGATTTTGCGTGATCGCTCTGGTTTGTGCAGGTCAAAAACAATCGTGGCATCTTCAAAGCAGAGGGCTCACCCTCACTGCAGGTAACACAGGTCTTGCAAGCGTGCCTGCAAGTTGACCCCGAGCTGAGATCACCTTTGAACGACATCATCGTCTTGCTGGAGGCAGCAAAGGTCGGGGCACAAGTGGCCGAAGAGGGTGAAGATGTGGCCGAGCAACACCAGGTTGATCTGCTGGAGCTCCCTTTAGCTTGATCTTCACACCCCATCGCTTTCATCCAAAATGGGAGAAATTATACAAATCCAAATGGGGCAAATGAACGGCATCTCAAGGGCTCCTCACCACCCCACGATGTGCGCAAATTGACGATGCCGATTTGTTTGCGATACACTATTGCGAACTGCACCCACCACTGCCCGGGTGGCCGCACCCAAGCGCGCCCTCCACAGCTGGAAGTCTCGAAGGGTACCTCTCACCACTACGGGCTCCTCCTGGATCACCCGGCGAAGGGCAGCATCAACCTTCACCAGACTGCCCATCCTGCCTTCAAACTCCTCTCTGCTGACCCCATGGTCCACAACTAGAGGAGTAGAGCAGTGCATGGCCATCTCAGCATAGTCCAAGATGTTATAGGCACCACCCATAAAGATGTTGTGCGTGTCCTACACACTGGACTTGTACCAGAACTGCCTCGGTGATATAGCATATCCATGTCCAAGATGCTCAACTCTGCCAGCCTCCCAAACGGCCTGGCCAGCAGGGTACCTCCCAGGGAAGAATGCCCCAATAGTGTCCACTTGCTGTGAGCTATAGTGGGCCTAGAGAGTCAGTCTTTACACCTAACTGATCAGCAGGGATTGCAGATTCCAATACACAGGCAGCAGAGGCATAGGCAATCCAAAATTTCGGATGATGGCATCATAACACCACGGCATCGTGTCATCATACAACAATGCGATTGATGATGAATCGACGTGTTCGCCGGGTGTGATTGTTTCACCAATCGCAACATGGCTTTGATTGACTAAGTATAAAGTAGGTAAATCAGTAATTTGCCCAGGTTGGTCCTTATACAGCTGGGAAATCTCTAGAGGCAACGAAAGGAAGGGGGGTCTCCTGCTTCCTTCGAATAACCGAAATTATGGAAGCGCAAGGACTCGCAGTTAGCTATGCTCCGCGAGATGTCGCCGTTCCAACTGGCAGTCCTGGCAGAAATGCTAGTCATAGCAGACTCGGACTCGGTGCAATGCCCGCTATACGCCTTTCAGGCCTCAGCATCGTGAGGTTGAGGGTCGTCAGCTGCTAGGTTCCTCGTCTTGCATGAAAACCCACAACGTTGATTATTAGAGTAAAGCGATTGCTCTTAGGAGGTACCTTACTCAACCCCATCATCATCAACTTCACAACAAAGAAAAAGCCACAACTCAAGTCGCTATAGCTCAGTGGTAGAGCATCTCAAGTAGTAGTCGAGAGGTCCCTGGTTCGATTCCGGTTGCGACGCTTTTGAAACATACATCCACTCATAGCTCAGTGGTATAAGCGTTCTGACATACGAAAAAATAGATTCTTACAACATAAGAATGTATCGGCGAGCCCTGTTGAGAAAGGAAGTACTTTTATTCTTCATTCGTTCAAGAGCTTTGCTTGGCTCTTGTTTGGCCCCAGCTCGTAAGCCAAAGGAAAGGCTGGAGCTTGAGGTGATCAACCAACTGCGGGAGGCACGGGTGAGCGGGGCGAGCAAAGCACCGCAGGTGGGGAGCACTCCGAGTACCACGGAAGACAGCGGTGAAGGGAGCTCGCTTCGGCAAGAGTCAGTCTCGCCCAGCACACCTGCCATACAAGAGGAGGGTTGGGTGTGGGAGGCTCAAAATGGTGCAACCGCGAGGCTCTTGTCCCCAGGGTATGCCACACCTGGAAGCAAGAGCAAAAACGACGTCCAGGTTGTATACCCTCCTTCGCTCCCTCACAATGCGATATCGATGACAATATAGACTGTTCAGATCTGGTGCAGTGTTGGCGTGATTAGTTGGCCCTTGTACTGCATGGTCTTGCCTCTCTTACAAGTGCAGAATTGAAAAGGCGATCTCGGCTATAAGAGCAGTGAATGATGCTTGGACACAGTATATTCACGCAAAGATACTTTTGCGCAAGTTATGGAAGGGCGTTGTAGGAAACATGCAACGGTTCGAGCTCAAAATGACAGGCATTTGATATGTGGTATCTCATGATATGTGCATACTATCCTTTGTCTGGAATGGCTCACGAAAGTAGGGAAGAGGGTTGCGGATGTAAACTGGATGAATACCAGGCATCATCAAGCAAGGATGCGCTTGAAGAGAACCGAGCGGAGCCTGCCCAAGGAGAGGACCAAGAAGTGGATGGAGGTGAAATCTAGCTTGGGGATTTTGTAAGATAGTGTGCACTTGCTGAATGAAAACCGGTGGACATGGTAGATATGGTAGAAGGGGGCATCTTTATGTTTGAGAGAAGGCTTGTCAGATCGTTCTTTAGTCATGCGTGGGCACTGTATACGGCGCAATGACGACAGCTAGCCAATATTTTCTTCATCGGCTTATGCCTGCACTCTCAAGTTAGCGCTCAACGTATAGAAAAGTTGACGAACTGTTGTGCAGAATTATCCTCACAGATGCCTTTCACCTGATCGATATGTTGTGCCGACTCGCATGCTCATTCAATAGAGAGGGCTGCTGCTTTTAGTTAGTGAGTAGTTGTTAGTTGATGATGTGTGCCCAAGCAGATTACACCAAGCGGTCTCCTCTGCAAGAGCTGCAAGAGTTGAAACTATCTAGTGGCAGGGTGGGTCACTCCACCTGCATTCCCATTGTCCCCCTCGATATAGAATGTCAACTCCGCTTGATAGAAGTGTGTTGACAATCTATTTGAATTTTGCTATTGAAACGAGATCTAGAATCGAGCTTCATCTGAGGTATTGGTATGGGATTGTACCGCTTCAGAGCTCGAGTTCCCAAGATGGCAGCAAGACTACTTCAGTAACAATGAAAGATGATGAGGTCCTTAAAACTGCTTTTGAGGAGGTGCGTCTTGTGGAGTCGTGGTTCCTCGACAATGTGACATGCAGTGGGCGCGCACAAAGGAGCAATAGTTGAATTCAATCAAATATGGTATAGTGCACTCTTATGGATTTTGTGTTACTTTAGACCACAAAAACGAATAGACAATTATGAGGCTTGAGACTTTGAGGGGAGTGTTAGCTGGCTCTCGGTCTAGTTCCATCAACTGCAGTAGAGTTCGAAATGCTGTGAATGTTTTATTCCATTGGTACAGCATTCGATCCACCAAAGGTGACACCGCGGGGCTTTCCTTGGAAAAAGAGTTGCTAAAATTGCTTAGGGGCGTCTTGACCGTGCTAGTTGATCAACCTCCTCTTTTGGAAGCCTTGCATGCTGTCCACTGCAATGCAATAGAGTCTTTAGGTTAGGTGGGAAGGTGGGAATGCAAAAGAACCGAGTTGCGGACGTCCGGACGGAATTCTTTTACAACCTGTGGGTATGTCAAATAGTGTCATGTGATTATTAAGGAGTCCTGCTCAACAATTGACTTGACCACCATGTGTGTTTTCTCCCTCACTGCTCGGCCAGATAGGGCCAAATCTGAAGCAGATTGGACCCCGAGCAACCCTTTTCGATACCGCATGCTCCATGTGATTTAAATGACCCTAATTAGGCAGGTGCATAGTGTCGGAAGCTGAAGTTCGGCAAACATTAGCAAATTAGGCAGTAAGCTACTCTTGAAATATCTAAGTGTTGTCCAACCTGTAAGGCCAAGTGCAAACTAGGCCCATTGTGTTTAATTTTGAGCTTAGTGGAGTTGTACTGGTTTTTGCCATGTGTGATCTCACTGTACCTTGGACAGACTATATAACCGTCGACGACGCTTCGGGTGTCCAAAACTAAACAAAAAGTCCGGGAAGCCCTTTTGCCTTCCAGAAAAAGAATATCACAAACATATTCACTGGATATTTTTTGTGCGGTACGCTCCATTTCTTTTGCACTTCACTTATTCTCGAACCGAAATGCGAGCAGGGTGAGCACACAACACACTGCAAGAACGAGCAGGGATGAATGCTTGCCGGTCTGATTAAATAACATTTACTCAGCAAGTCTTAGTTCTCTCTTCTCCCAGCTACAGCCTCTCTGGCTAGCTTTCTCTCCAGTGCTCTAGCCTCTCTGGCGAGTCTTCTCTGTCTGTCCCATTACTCCCGAGCCTTTGGCTGAATGAGTGTCTCTCAGTCTGTCAGGGAGCAGGCTACTGCTTTGAAGCTACCCTGCTACTTCCGTGCCTAAGCCTCTCTGGCTGAGCCTCGCTGGCTTCACGGCAAACGGATAGCAGCTTCCTCGCTGGAACCCGGAAGCTTCTTCAGCAGCAGCCTCCACCCAATCCTGCACCTAGCAGGGGCTCACCTGACAGAGTCCTGGGCACTCTCTGAGCCCTGGACACACTCACCCAACGGGGGCATGGGAGGGCCGAAAGCACGAGGGAGTCACCGATCCGCAGCAGCTGCGGCCTCTGCCATGGCCCCGGGAAGAATGAGCTTCTGCTCGGTGTCGAGCTCGCAGTAGCGCTCGAAGCAGTCGCTCTTCCAGTCGCCCTGCATCTTGATGTAGATGGAGGCCACGTCCAGGCGCATTGCCGCAGTGGCCCCGCCCCGCCGCAATGAGTGCCCCGCGTAGCTGGACGGGTCCAGCCCCACCCTCTCCGCCAGGGACTTGATGCCCGCCACCAGAGCATCGTGGGTCATGGGCACCACCGTTGCCCGCCGGCCCGTCACCTTCTCCATGACGAAGAGAGCCGAGTCCCCCGGCCGCCCCGCCGTGCGCTCCATGAGGCGCATGAGGGCCCGCACTGGGCACAGCAGAGACCCCGGCACCGCTCGCAGAGGCACCCAATGGTGCCGCTCGCCACACTGGATCGTCTTCGAATGCCGCACCCTGATCCACACCACTGAGCCATCCTCGTGGAAAAGCACATCATCCCTCACCAGGGCCCCCCTGGTGTTCCAGGCACCCGCCTTCCCCGTGGTCAGGTTGTCCTTGCGGAACAGACCGAAGAAATCAACGAGAATGGCTGCCCACAGAGCCTCCTGTCCAAGGTCATGCGACGAAATGAGCACCGCCATCTTGGCCAGGTCCGCCAACGTGAGAGGCATGACTGGCCTAGGGGGCCTCCCCCAGCACCGCTTCACCCCCTGCAGAGTGGCTGCCACCGCATGCCTGGCCGCCACCGGCACCCACTCGTGCCCCCGCTGTAGGTGCAGCTGCCGCACCCCCGCCAGGTAGTTCTTGATGGTGCCGGGCTGAACGAACCAGCTGCAGTAGGTGATGAACATGCACAGGGTCCTGTCCGTGGCCGGCAGCAGGGGCTCCAGACACCCCAGGCATGCGAAGGTGATGCAGAATGTGACGAAGGCCCGCACCCCTGTGCCGTAGCACCTCCTCGTCTCTGGTGCCCGGGCCTCCGCTCGGTAGCGCTCCACCTCCCGCTGCAGCTCCTGCACGAGCTCCTCTGCCCAACCCTCAAGCCCAGTCAGGGAGGGCCACGGGATCCGGCCCCACCCTCACAACCACCACCGGCCATCTGGTGGGCCCCCAAGCAGTCCTGCCAAGCCCCCGAAGGTCACGGGCTGTGAACAAGTGGGTGCCCTTCTTCCACTCCCGCACCACTCTGAACACATGAGGGAGGCTCTTCACGAGCTCCCAGCCGTCGTCCCCATCCCACACAGGCACAAGGAAGCACGCCGCCGTGCCCCACTGCTGCCGCCGCTTGCACTTCAGGAAGTTCTTGATGATGGCGAACATGATGCTGAACGGCAGGTTCCCCCAAGCGTTGTGGCCGTCGAACTTCTGCACCCGAGCATCCTCCACCGCGCTCCAACTGTTGTAGCAGTAGGCGTTAGCCCTTGACACCGCCACACACGAGTCCACCGTGAAGGGCCTGAACTCCTGATCCAGCGCCGCCCACCGCACCGGGCACACCATCCAGTCGTCCCGGTCCTGGCGCCAGATATCCGCCCGCAAGAACGCCTTGTGCTCCGCCAAGAACCGAGGCATGTCCAGCCTGGACAGCAGATCCGCAAGCAGATTGTCCTTGGTGTTGATGTACACGGGCTGTAGGCAGATATCGTGCTGTGCACACACGAAGAAGATCTGCCTCAGCAGAGGCAAGTAGGCCACCGGCCCCCACCAGCTCCCCACCTGGTACATGGCGGACTGGTTGTCGATCCTCACCACCACCGTGGTCCCGCTCATCCTGTGCCCCCACAACACCATCGCCCACCAGACCGCAAAGAGCTCGAGGTAGTTGATGCTCCAGCTGCTGCGGCAGTCACTCCTCCTCGGAAACCACGGGCGCTGCGGCAACCGTGCCAGGTCCTCCCAGCATGAAGAAGAGGCGCTCCCAGACTCCGCCGAACCCAGCGTGCCCGAGGAGTCCGTGGCGAAATGGCGCTGGTCCACCAAGCG